TCGTAAGTTCGCATTTCACAAACTTGTTCTTCCCAAATTAAACGCTAGATCGTTTCTGTTGTCGCAGTTGTGTGCGCCACTCAACCTGTCCCCCTCCATCTCTGATGCAACCCGGTCTGGGGGTTGTATCAGCCCCGGAGGAGTATATAAATCGCTCGATTGCTTTGTTTTTCTTTCCTCCTCTCGCGTTCCTACTCCCTCTTCGTGAATCTGACACGGTATGTATGACAATCAGTCTTCCACTTTAGTTTTTATTGTTTTCCTGTAGAGGTGAACGACCTGCGAAACACGCCGGGCGTGCCTCCATTCCTAACGGTGGAGCCGTAGAGCTGTCCATCATAGGTATTGACGAAAACAAAATCTGATTTTTTGATTACATGAAAAAGGGAAATTTTTGAGAAACCCTTATACATTTGGAGGGGAGCTCATCATGTTGAGGAAATGCCTTAAGAGGGGTAATTGCACAAATTTTTTGCTTAGATATATATCTCACAATCTGACATTTTCTTAATTTTTATAGGAGTTCCTCAAAGTTAGTTAAAAAAAAAAAAAAAAACGCCTGTTTTTCGTGTTCTCTCTAATGAAAAAGTGGGAAAATCGAATTTCAACAAACCCCAAATGATTTATTTACTTCTTCATTTACCTTTTCTAAATACTTTTTGACTTTTTTTTCAGGACTGCAGGTTCGTATAGGAACCGGTCACGTGTTCCGGCTGCACCGAACGTGTGAACACGGCGGACGATTAAAAGCTCTGTTGTGCGCGAAAGGCGGGTAAGAGCGCTCACATCGAGTAACGCCGTGTTTTGATTTCATCAGGTTCGCATCTTCCACGCCGATGACAACGACATAAAAAAACGGAGATGGTAAAGAAAAAAAAAGGCGCAGAGGACGGAGCGCGGACCCCGCGTGTGTGTGAAGCTCCAGCTCCTCCTCCAGCTCCTGGAACGTCACACTCTAAATGTCAAGGGACAATTTTGTCCGTAGATTTGCAACGATTTCGTGCACATCCAGAAAGGATGCAATTTTGTTCCTAAAACTAGACAAATTGTGTGAAACTTCACACAATTTGTCCAATTAAGGGAACAAAATTGCATCCTTTCTGGATGTGCACGAAATCGTTGCAAATCTACGGACAAAATTGTCCCTTGACATTTAGAGTGCACACCCGCAACACTATCACTCCAAACGATTAAAAATAAAAACAAACTAATAATTAGTCCGACCCACGCGCTCGCTATCGACTGGACGAGGACGGGGAGTATCCGAGCAATCCGAGCGCGGACCGAGAGGCTCGCACATTTGTCAAAAACAGACGGAGAGGGGGAGGGGGCGGGGGGAGGAAGGATGTCCAAATTGTCCTTGATCAGTGTGTCCGTTTCCACCCGGGCACGCCACACACACACAGATTTAAGGAAGAAATCTCGGTCCTGGCCGTCGGCCAAGATTTTCTGGCCAGCTCGTGCCGCAGGATCGACGGGCGCAAATTTTTATTATTATTATTGTGTTTTTTGTGTGTTTTTGAAAATTTCCACATGTTCTTTTTGTTTTGTTTTTTTGCTTGAGCCAGGAACATGTGGACCAGTTTTCACCCCATTTGGACAGCAGAGTGTCTGAAACAAACAAACACCTTTGTGAATTTAAAGGCAGTATTGAGAAATTTGTCCACCGCTGAGCGCGCTTCTTGGGCACGACTGAAGCAGCACTGCAAAAAGGGACAGGAAAGGATAGGCGAAATGAAAAAAGAAAGAAAAGTACATCCTTATAGTCTTTGTCGACTTTTTCCAAATGCAGTTCGAGTTTGTACCTTTGAGGCGACGCGATATTAGTTTGAATCAGCCGCTCCCGTCCGGCGGGGCGTCGGTCGCCGTTTGTCAGCGGGGCGCCTCGGCGACACCCACATGCTAATGAAGCGTCCGCAGCCATAAAATGATATACATTTCCAACAATAAATTGCAGCGCCGACAAGTATAAAGCAAAAGTTATTGTTGGAATTATTGTTAATGGTTTTCGTCAAGCGTCCATACCGCGCCCCGTAAAAAAAAACAGAACGAAGAGTCTCTCTCTACTCTCTCTCTCTCTCTCTCTCTCTCTCTCTCTCTCTCTCTCTCTCGCTCGCTCGCTCTCTGTCTCTTTCTCTCTCTAACAGACATACACACACAGAGAGAGGTGCGCGCGCACGGGGCGATAGAAATCTATGTATTTGCCTCCCACTCGGGGGAATAAAACTAAGTAGTTATAGACTGTATAGTTGTTGTTGTTTTTTTTTTGGTTTTTTTTCACGGGGTACACACCACTACATTGGACCGCTCGCGCTGCTTCAAAACGTGAACCGAAAACGAAGTTCCACGTGAGGCTGCCTCCGGCTGCCGCTGAGCTCTGCTCCTCCTCTTCGCGGCGTCCTGGCCGAGGCGGCGGGCTGGCGCTGGCGGGCTTATATAACCAAAGCGTTTCCATTGTTTACGCACGGCCAGGGGAGTGAGCAGGGAGGCGGGCTGGTAGGTCCATTAGGCGGCCAGTCCAGGAGGGCATGTGGCGCCTCCAGAAAAAGGTGCGAGGAATAAATCAAAGTGCTCCCAAAAAATTGAGTCAAGGCTGGAGATCAATCTACCGCGAGAGGGAGGGAGGGGAAAGAGAGAGAGAGACAGAGAGACAGAGAGAGGAGGAGGGGGAGGGGGCACGATCCACTAAACCACATTCGAACCTGCGACCTGATCTCACCCAACACCTGATCGGTTCGGGCCCTTCCTTTTCCCTGTGCCGGTGTGCAGGGGCTCGGATGGCACGCCACCAACAGAAAATATCGCGGGACCGTTTCCCGCGATATCGCTCCACCGCGATCGCTCCACCGCGATCGCTCCACCGCGATCGCTCCACCGCGATCGCTCTGGAAACGCCGATCGCGGGCCGCGCCCGCCCCGCCACCACCGCGCGATCCCCCCGGCTGCCTTATGTAACCCCCATCGCGACATGTTCATAAGGCTTTATGTAATTAACACAATCGTTCATCGGTTATTACTATCATTTCGATGCAAGATGCGCTCTCCGCGGAAGTGCACCGTACCGCACCATAGCATGTACGTATGCATTTTTTTAGAATAATTTGCTCAACACACATGTCTGCAAACATTATTTATTTGAAATTGAAATTTAAAGGCAGTAAAACTTTCAGTGTCGTGTTTTTTTTTATCTTTTTATTTTTCGTTTCACTGAAAACGTTTGACACGCGCTGCTGATGAGCACGCCACATGCCAAACTAATCTGCTACTTTTCCGCGATGTTAAGACATTAGTGCTGAGTCGTTGGCAGTGGCGAAAAAGAGGCCCCGGCGGCGGCGGCGGCTCCTCCAAACAAAGTAAATTACCCGCCAAATTGCCATCCGTCTTCAAACACGCGTTCACGACTGTTCAATTTAGAGGAGGCGGCCGACCGTTCTGGTGATCAGGTGATCCACAAGTGATCCATCACTGCTCGCCTCGCCACCTGTCACTCCGTCCGTCACTCGCCGATGCACCTGCAGCTGGCGCACTCTACACAATTCACACATTCCCTGACTCTCCGTCAGTCACAGTTAGTTTCAGTCACAGACGTAGTCACACTCGGCCTTTACAAACGCACACACTCTTGCACAGTCGTACACACTTACATAAGACCGTTTGGCACGCGAGTGCGTTTCCTTTACGGGACCGGCCCAAGTTTCGGCACCGACCGTCATACTCTAGTCAACTTTCGAGTGATTATCCGCCTTTTCTTGCAGTCACTCAGATGCACCGTGAGACGCGTGCAAGTACTCGCCGTTGTGCGAGGTGGGTGTGTCACGCACGAACAACACCTGCTTGCACGTATTGCTGGAGATCGGTCCGCCCAATCACTGCATCTGAACGGAAAAAATACTGAATTTGCTAAATGAGCAAAAACTATTGCTAATTTGACCTTAGCTCAGAATACTGGCTCACCTTGCCAATCATCACGACGTACGGGAGCTAAAAGATTCGCCCTATACTAGGTTGCCTCGAAAAAAAAGATTAGTCCAGCAGAGGGCTAGGAAATAGACAGTTCCCTCGACCAGGTACCCCTCAATTTTTCGCCCCTCTCAATTAGCTACAACCAGAGGCTACAACAGTCAATATGGCGAGAAGGGGGAGCGAAGTGGTGGCCCCGCGGAGCGTGGTTTGTCCAAACTCTGCGTATGATACGTCCGCACGGCCCATACGTTCTGCGCTATAGGAGGGGAGAGGGGGGGACTTTCCCTGACTGGTAGCTGGTAGAAGCAGTCTTGGGAACTGTCCAAAAACGATGATATCTTATTAAAAAGTCCATAAGAAAATTAACCATACTTACGTTTTGGGAAAATGAAAATCCCCTAGTGCAGTGCAGTCCTGTCGAGTCCTGCTGGTACCGTCCAGCATCAGTTAATTTGCTCAGGTAAAATTGATAAGTTTAAAATCGTAAAACGTAGGAATTTCTTTTGAAACTGTTTGTTGACTGACAGAGACGATTTTTGTTGTGTCGGAAATGTTTGAAAATCTTCATAGTTTTACAACATGGTGCATTTTTTCTCTATTTGAAGAATATTTCACTTTTCACTTTTGCTCTTGCAATATGGTATGACCTTTCGATTGAGTCTTGTGTCAAGGTTATTTTATCCGGGGTCACTGATTACAAATTGTGATTAAAAAAAGTAATTGTTTCTCTTATTGTTGTTAACAAATTTCTTTGTGTACCGGAAATTATGAAAAATGCCCTGTGTCACCCGGGGGTAGTAGTAGCGGCCCGGGAGTGTACTGACCGGGGCGGTTCAGCGCAGGCCGCACTCGCTGCGGTAGGTGCGCTGGTCCAAGCCGCACACCTCGGCGGCCGGGTGCGGGGTCGGGCACGGGCAGCCGGCACGGGCCAGCGGCAGCAGCGCCGTGATCATCGTCGCGGCGACCAGCCCCAGCATCCTGAAGACTGCGCTCGTCGGCGTGGACCTATCGGCCGCGGGGTGCTGACGGTAGGGCTGCCTGCCCGCGAATGGTTCAGCCGGTTCAGCCTCCTAAAACCAGGCTTTATCTTTAGCTAGGAGCGTGACGGAACTTCAGTTCCTCTTGGCCCGCGTCCGTGTGCCCGTGTGCCCTCAAATCGGTCCTCCGCGCTGCAGTTGGCACGGCTGCGGTCGACATGTCGGGGTACGGCCTCGGGGGGCCTCGGGGGCCGCGGGCCTGCGGTCACCCCCTGCGGGTCGAACCCCTGCTGCAAGGGGGGAGGGGGGGAGGGGGGCAACGGTGTCGGTTACGTCGCCCCCGGTGCGACCGCAGAAACAATAACAGGGACGACGGTCAGGGGCAGCTGGAGGAGGAGGAGGAGGAGGAGAGAGGAGGAGTGTTTCTCATGGGGGCATCAACAACCCGAACGATGTGCGGCAGAGTGGACACCCACAATAACAAGCCCAACACAACAAGTGACAACAAACAGGGCCAGATTCAGCGGAGTTCTCTGCCAGTCCGAGCGCAGATGGGGCCGGCCTGCCGTGCGATTCAGGAGATCGTTCAAGCGAGGCTCTCCTGTACGTCCCGCATAGCTCCGTCCTTGTTGCACTCATAGGGCAGTGTTGAACGATCTCCTGAATCGCACGGCTGGAGGGTGAGGAGTGGATGCCAGAGGAGGGGAGGGGAGGGTCGCTCCTCAGTACCCGTGGCACGCGGCCGTTGCATAGCTAACTAAGCTCGGCCCCCCGCCCCGCCCCGCCAGGCCAGGCCGCCACACCCCGCCCTGCTGCAGGCTCGTCGGTCAAAACCTTTTACGTAAGCTCGACGACTGCAGTCCTACACAGAGTGTACTCTTCTATTCTCTCTGCCCGTCGTCGGGCGGACGGATGGACGGATGAATAGAAACCCGCGGGGAACAAACAAAGCGGCCCGCTCCGGGGTGCTCCGAGCTCTCCGCCGCGCTCCGCTCCGCGCCCGCCCTCCTGGAGCGCCTGCGAGCAGGCAGCGTGGGCCACCCGCCCAACACGGGCGGCGAGCGCGCGGCCCGCCCGGGGACCCTGCAGGCGCGCTGCCAGCCGCGCCCGGCCCGGCCCGGCCCTGCCCTGCCTGCCGCGGCGGCACCAGGAGGGGGAGGGGCGGCATCAGGAGGGGGTGGCCGTCGGCACCGGCGCCGAGGGGCCGGCCGCCGCCCCCCCAAGGGTGCTCGCCCCCCACACGGTGCGCCGGTGGGTCTTCCCCGTGCCCTGCCTGTCTGCTTCCTGCGAGGCGGAAGCAGAGGGACGCGGGGGCAGGGCGCACAGCAGTCGGCCGCGGAGGGCCCCGGGGGACGGTCGTTGTCGTCGCGGTCCTGGGCGGGCCAGCGCGGAGGGTCGGCAGGGTCCGCAGCAGCGCGGCGCCGAGCTTGTTGTTGGCGCCGCGAGCCGCCGCGCCGAGACGCGCCTATAAGTAGCCGCGGCGCCGGCGCAGGCGCTCACACCTCGATAACAAACCACGCGGTCATCATCTCGCTCGCTCGCTCCCCCTCTCGCTCGCTCCCCGTGTCTCGCTCGCGCTCTCGCTCGCTCGCACCCTCCCCCGACGCTCCCCGATGCTGCGCGACGCCGCCGCGCTCGGTCACCTGGACCTCCGCTGCCGCCGGCTCGCCTTCTACGCCTGGCTCATCCTCTTCGTGTTCGGCTCGGCCCTATGAGTATGAGAAGTTGGTCGGCGCGCGTTACGCAACCCAAAGACAGCAGCGGCAGCGGCAGCAGCAGCAGTAGCAGCGGCAGTAGCAGCGGTAGCAGCAGCAGCGCACAGTAGCAGCGACCAACCAGCGAGGAGCAACGCCTCCCCTCCTGCACCGGGCGTCCTGGGCGCGTCCCAAAGGCGGGTGCCACGCAGCCAGGCGAGAGCCACCCTGGCAGATCAGTCCTAGCCCGGGCGCACCTCCGTGTCGACGTGTATACCGCACCAGCCGACGGATAGCGCCACCGGCACCTCCCCGTCGACGGCCACCTCTCGTCGGCGCCGCAGTGCGTCGTTCTCCCTAGTGTTTGTGACTATGTGCCCCGGCGGTCGCCTCCAGTAGGTGCCGTCGGCTCCCCCAGCGCCTTCGCCGAGTAGTGCACCAGCAACGACATTACCTCCACCTCCGCCGCCGTCGCCACCATGGCGAACGCCACCGTCCTGCCCCTGCCCCGGCATCCCGTCGGCGGCCTCCTCGCCCAGCCACTCGAGGGCCTCGGCCGCATGTTCTACATGGTGGAGCCCGAGCTCACCACGTACAAGACACCCGAGGAGGTGCCCTTCTTCTTCAGACAGGTGAGTGTTTCGCAGGGAGGCCGGAGGACGGATCCGCCGCTTAACTGAACGGGCCACCCGGGCGTCGTTGTTTGCCCAGCCGGGACCGTTAACGGCCTCGGCGGATCGTAAATATCGTCCGACTGCGACGCTGACGACGATAGACTTACACTAGATTGGTATTCGTATTCGTGTATTCGGGGAGCCGGCCCGGGCAGAGTGCCAGCGCCGCACGGCGTCCCGTCGCCGCGCATACTATTCACAAACCTCTGACGTTGCACTCGCGGCCAGCGCGGGGGAGCGGGGGAAAGGGGGGAAGGGGTGTACCCTTGCAGCCCGTACGGGACAAGTACACCGTACACGCTCATTAAATAACTAACACCAGGGTGAAACCGCAAACAGGTTGACTGTTTTCTTTCGTCCCAGGTCGACATTCGGTCATTCGAGAGAGATGGTGGAGGGGGGGGGGGGAGGTATCTGCGCGTTATCTCCGTGCGAGAGTGCACTCGCGGACATGGCAGGATAGCGCGTCGCCGGCTGTCAATCAGGACCATCGCCACCTCCACCTTCCCTTCGCGAACGAGGAAAACTTTTCCTCCTCGCTACTTCTACCAAAAAAAATGGAAATGCTACAAGACTGACAAAATTTTGCGCTTCGGCGATAGAGCGACCCCGCTGAATAACGCCAACAACACGTGCAGCATATATATCGTGACCATACCGAGCGCGTTATGTACCACGTGACAACGTTTGTTTACTCGGCACGAGACACACATACGTGACAGGCCGCCGCCAGAAGAGTCTTCAATTAGACCCCCCCCCCTCCTCTTCTGCATCAGGCGGTGCGGGCGCACAGCGCACAGCAGCTTTGGTTGTCGTCGCCGCCTGGCCTAGAAAGAGGAGGGGATTGGGGGCAAAGGGATGGATCGCCAATCAGTGCGACACAGCCTTGCTGCTACCGCTGCTGCTCCTCTCCTCTGCCTGCTGCTGCACCGAACCAAATTGAATTCGATTTTCCCGCCGGGCGCGTCTCCTCCTGCGGCGCGGGGTTGGGGTGCGCTGGCGTTACTCGTTTTAAACGAGTGACTCATGTGTGGCCGCGGTCGACGCCCCCGCTCGCTCGCGGCCCGCCGCCCGCCGTGGGGTTCGTACCGCGAAAACAAAAGGCAGAAGAGGCTTTCCGAGTTGTCTTCGACTCGGCATGACGGCAATGCAACGAGGGTTCTTTTTTCGGGGACGGGGAGGAAATGCTTACGTGTTGGTAGACAGCTTCGTGTCACACGTGACATGGAAAAGAAGTCACTGATTTAGTTTTCGACTCACCCACACCTTTTTCTCTTTCGCAGGCCTGGCCGTACTTCCTGGCCTTCATCGTGCTGGAGAACCTCGTGCTCTGGCTGGAGCACAAGCCGCTCTCGCGCCTCAACGACTCGCTCACGTCCATCTCGCACGGCATCTTCCAGGAGTGCGGCAGGTATAGGTCATTCCGAGAGGTTTCCGAACTGCGGCTTTGGCCAAGATTTGCCGGCTTGAGCGGCCGTCTGCCACTTCATTTGTCCTTACCTGACGGCTTCTCTTTCTCTGCGCCCGCACAGACTGGTGTTCCGAGGCGCCGAGCATTGGATGTACATCTACATCTACGAGAACTTCAGGCTGGCCGAGCTGCCCTGGGACTCGGCCATTACCTGGTACCTGGCCCTGGTGGGCGTGGACTTCTGCTACTACTGGGTCCACCGCGCCAGCCACGGTCAGTGGTAGTTCGCATTTGCCAATCCCGTAACCTGTAATGCAAACACAAAGACAAACAACTCTGCGCTTCAGTGACTTGCAACGCCAGTCGAGAGACCGGCACGTGTGACCTGAACACACCGACCAACTTAAACTCACGTGTAAGCACACGTGTTAACTCACGTGTCCTCCAGAAGATACTTGAGCTACTCGTGAGACGGCACGTGACTTAATGCGCTGACCGCTGACTAAACTTTAACTCACGTGACGTGACTTGAATGCGCCGACTAACTTTAACTCACTGTTCTCCAGGAGGTACTTTAAACTGCTCGAGAGACGACACGTGACTTGAATGCGCTGACTAACTTAAACCCATACGTGTTCTCCAGAAGGTACTCAATCTACTCGAAAGACGGTACTCAAGCTACTCGAGAGACGACACTTGACTTGAATACGCCGACCAACGTTTAACTCACACGTTTCTCATTTCTCCATAAGGTACCTAAAACCACTCGAAAGACGACACGTGACTTCCACTCGCTGACCGGATATAACTCACCGGATTAACTCACGTGTTCTTTGGAGGTTGACCCCAAGGTACCACTACGCCGCCACTACTAGAGAGATAAAAACACGTGACCTGAATACGCCAGCTCTCTAGAGGAGACGACACGTGATCCGAACACTGACCGACACTAGCTTAGGCTCACGTTCTGGTTCACAGCAAATTACCACAACAATCATGCACCAAAAACACCTCTCGAGAGCAACCGCGTCCGTAATTTTAAATTACTAATTTAAAATTGCACTCTTTGTCCTTCCAGAGGTGCACATCCTGTGGGCGCAACACCAGGTGCACCACAGCTCCGAGGACTACAACCTGGCCGTCGGCCTGCGCCAGTCTCTACTGCAAGGATGGTGCGGATTTGTAAGTAAAACCTTCTCAAAATGCGACTCCCGCGCGTTCGGGCGGCGTTTCTAGAAACACGAGAACGACGTCGGTGAATAGCGGGAGCAAGAGGAGAAAAAAAACACCTGCTCACGTTTTTGGGTTGACTTGATGAAAAACTTTCCCCTCATCGACAGGGCCGAGGCTATTTGAATTAATCGCGCCGGCATTTCGTTGTTTTTCTCCACTCCGCGTAGCCAGCGGTTGAGAAAGCGGTGGTGGTTGATCGCAGATTTACAGACCAGCTTCTCGAACATCTATCTCTCTCGCTCTATCTCTTGCCCGCGAGTCTCACGCACCACCACCCTCCCTCTGCTCCCCCAGGTGTTCTACCTCCCCATGGCGCTGATCGTGCCCCCGGCGCACTTCCTCACCCACCAGCAGTTCAACCTGCTGTATCAGTTCTGGATCCACACCGAGACGGTCCAGACGCTGGGCCCGCTGGAGTGGGTGTTCAACACGCCCAAGCACCACCGCGTGCACCACGGTCAGTTGTCTGCGCCGAAACTACTTATTTTGGCACGTTTCTGTAACGTCCATTGTATGCATCGTAGTAACTAAACGACGCCTAATTTGACGCTCTCCAGGCTCCAACCTGTACTGCCTGGACAAGAACTACGGCGGTTTCCTCATCATCTGGGACCGCCTGTTCGGGACCTTCGCCGAGGAGCGACCCAAGGAGGAGACGGTCTACGGCCTCGTCTTCAACCAGCCCTCCTTCAACCCCTTCTACCTCCAGGTAAGCAACGCGGCGACGGCCGTCTGGTCTTAAGAGTGTCCGGCGTTCTTGTCGCTAACGCTAGCCGTGTCCTCCGCTTCCAGATCTTCTACAACAAGAACGTGATCAACAAGGTCCGCGCGATGAACGGCTGGAAGAACAAGGTGTCCGCTGTCGTCAAGGGTCCCAGCTGGCTGCCGGGCCGACCCTGGACGGGCGCCGAGGAGGACAAGATTGACGTAAGTCGCAAAGCTCGCACGTGTACTCTGGGGACACGCCCCTATTATTCTTTTTTTGTTAGGGTGTTAGGCACACTGACCTCGACTGCCACACCCCCATGGGGCCGTTCAGAAACCCCGTGGACAAGAGGGGGTACAAATAATGTGGGGTTCCAAAATGGCCAAGACGGTAATTAGAGTCCAAGGAGGCCACGTGATATTTTTACCACGGGGTACAAATATCACGCGGGGTCTCTATGAGATCCAATGATGTTCCTGACCATTTTGGTACCCCATATTGTTTGTACCCCTCCCTTCTTTTCTCCGCGTGGTTTCTGAGCGGCCCCCAATGGTACGGCATCAATCACTCTGCCATCAACTAACATCATTCCGATGTCAGTCGTCCAGCCCGCCATCAGACAACTGACGCCCGAACGACGTTTTCCGTTGGATCGGGACGTCCCGCCCCCTTACCTTCCTCACTGTCGTTGCGCGGTTGGCAACACTGCTCACGGCAGAGAGGCCCGCGTCGCGCGTCGCCTTTTTGTTTACGTAATCACCTCAGCTGCTGCTGCGTCGCCTGTCGACGTGTGCCTCTGAATCGCTGAACCGATTAAAGCACTCCCTGATGAACGGCCTAGCCTTGCGCTCTGCTGCCACGCCACTAACGGATATATGTTTTATACAAGGGGGACGGGGGGGGGGGGGG